TTAATTTCACAATATAGTGATCTTTTTCCGCTTCTTTTTTTATTTTGTCCAATGTTACTGGCAATTCCCTGATTGCATTCAATAAGAGACCTGAGATTTCTTTTTCCTCAGTTAATGCTGCTATAACCGTCTCTTCTAACAATTCTTCATTTTTGGAATCAGCCTTGACAATCCATCCCATGCCCATGTTCTTTAGATTTGACGTATTCCATCCTAAAATGGTAATTAACAGGGTTACACCCCATCGCCGTAATCGATTAGCTGTATGCGTAGGAATGCTTTTTTTTTACTTCCAAATATTGAAAGTAACGGTTTATGATCCGTTTGCAGTACAAATGATCTACCATGTAAGAAGCGGTGGTATTTTTTTAACTCCGAACACAATCGACAAAGCCTCCTTCTCGATCTGGCTATAATTTTTTCAGCCGGAAGAAGAGTCCTTGACCAGCGTCTTGCGATAGGTTTGGTAGTACCATCTTCATATTTGTGTAGCAGTGCAGCACCCACTCCGTATAAACTTGCGTCAGTTGCTAGAATGATCTCTTTCTCAGGATCATAATGTGCTAAAGCGAGATCTGAGAGTAGGCATTTTTTTATTTTCTGAAAAGCCGTCTCACACTCTTTTGACCAAAACCATTTTTTGTCTTTTTTTAACAATTCATTGAGGGGGGCTCTTAAATCATACATTTTAGGTATGTAAATTGCATAATATTGTGCCAACCCCAGAAACGATTGTAGTTTCGCAACTGTGTCGGGTGCAGGCATGTTTTTAATTGCATCGGCCCTCTGTGGGTCCGGTTTCCTGCCTTCACTGTCTATTACCTGTCCGAGGTACGTAATTCTTTCCATGAAGAATTTACACTTCTCGTGGCTTAATTTAAAACCAAAATCTTCTAGTCTTTTGAATATCGCTCTGATGTGCGTTTTATGTTCTTGAACATTCTTACTTTTGACTAGAATGTCATCTAAATAGGCGGTACCACACTCCAGGCCTGCCAGCATAGTGTCCATCACCTGTTGAAACAAAGCTGGGGCAACTTTTAAACCGAAAGGCAGCCTATTTAGCTTATAAATACCTTTATGTGTATTTATACACAAATATTTCGAGCATTCGTCACTCACTTTAATCTGCAAGTATGCGTCAGACAGGTCGATTTTTGAAAAAAATCTTCCCACCATTTAATTTTGAAAAATATCTTCTGGTGAAGGTAGTGGATAACTGTGATTCTTAAGGCAATCATTTAATCCAGTTGAAAAATCTGCGCACACTCTTATTTTTCCATTTTTCTTTTTAACATAAACTGTGGGTGAGGCCCAATCTGAATGTTCAACCTTAGATATCACTCCCATTTTTTCAAGTCTTTCCAATTCCTTATTAATTGTGTCTAAGGAGGAAAACGGGACGTTTCTCTTAGGTTTGAAAATTGGTTTCACATTTTCCTTGAGTTCAAATTTGACTTCCGTTTTGGTACATAAACCCAATCCCTCAGAAAAAACTCTGGGATATTCTTCCTTTAATTCATTTATGAATTTTTCATTTTTAATATTTTTTTGTTTTTCGGCACTGTTTATTACATTGCAAAATGAGTTAATCGGGAGTTCAAATAAATCAAAAAGTACTATCCAGTCTATTCCAAAAAGACATGAATTAATCCCTTGGACTACATACACTTTCGTTTTTGCAGTCTTGCCACATAACGAAATATTGCACTTTAATTCTCCCTTAAAGTTTAATTTCTTTCCTGAAACCCCTCTAGCGGTTCTTTTGGTTTCAGATAATTTAGGTCTTCCAATTTTTTTCCAAGTTTGTTCGTCAATGATGCTTATGTCTGAACCAGAATCCAGTAGGAAAGTAATTTTATGATTATTTATACGTACATCTACGTACTTTCTATTTTTTCCTTTCTGAATTTCTTTTTCTGATAGTACCAGACTTACATCTTGTAATTTTCTTCTTTTCTTTCGACAAACTGTATATTTATGCCCTTTATTTCCGCACGATTCGCAGAATTTATTTTTGTACCAACATACGTCTTTGGTGTGACCTTTTTTTCCACACGTTTGGCAGAACTTATTTTTGTACCAACACGTGTCTTTGGTATGATTTTTTTTCCCACACGTTTGGCAGAATTTATTTTTGTACCATTTTGGCGTTTGGAGTTTTTCGAGTTTTTACGTGTCGAACATTAGCAACACTTTTCTCCTCAATTTGAATATTGTCCCTTTTTACGTTTATGAGACGTTGGCATTCTTCGGTTACCCTTTGTAATGTTATATTCGAGTCTTGCTCGACCATTATTAATATTCTCGACCTAATTTCTTTATATTTAGGATCAGTTAGTCCTTGAAGAAAAATTAGGCACTTGAATACATCTTTGGTTATTTCTTCTAACTTGAATTGTTCAACCAGAGAGTTCACTGTTCCCGCGTATGTCACAAAATCCTCGTTATCTGCTTTAACGATGTTTAGGCATTTGTATCGCGTGTGGAACAGACTATTCCTTTCGTCAAATATTTTTGACAGAATACTTATAGTTTCTTCAAACGAAACTTCTTCTGGCTTTCTGGGCAGTATCAAGTTTGAGTACTTCCTATTCTCGTTTGTCCCTAGTTTCTGTACTAGTAATGTTACTCGTTCCTCATCCGACCAATGTTGACATCTCTTGGTAAATATAGTTTGAAACGTTTAAAGTACGCTGGAAATGTAATGCCCGAATCAGGATCATAAATAAATTCGGATAATGAATTTGTTATTCCTTCGCAGAAAAAACAGTATTTTTCTTTCTCCAGTCGCCTGTTCCAAAACTTTTTCGAGACTTTTTTGCTGTTGCAATATTTGTTGTTGTAAGTCTTGGTGCTGTTTTTTGTTGCTGTTGTTGTAACTCTTGATACTGTTGTTGTTGCTGTTGTAAGCTTGTACACAGCATTTTAGTCATTTCGACTAATTGCTCCATCCTTATTTTAGAATTCGGCAAAACACAAAAAAAAAAATTTTTAAACTCTCCACAAACAACTTACAGCCGTAATATTTTTACAACCCGTAATTTTTACTTGAATAATTATTGTTAGACCGGCTCGTTTTTGAGCCGCGGTTCAATATATATTTTTCAAATCACAATTTAACAGTAAAAATTCTTACTTTTCAAAAAGTTTCCTTTTGACTTGTGACTCCACTTTCGAACATCCGTTCAGCGTATATATATATATATATATATTTTTTTTTTTTTCAAGTAAGTACGTTGCACAATCCTTCGTTGCCAACTGTTATCGTTAGGCGTACTAAAAGTTTTTCCGTGTAAGTTTCGAATCCTCGTTCGCCAACTGCTATGGTTAGGCGTACGAAAAGTTTTTCCGTGTAAGTTTCGAATCCTCGTTCGCCAACTGTTATATCTCGTCGCCAGTCGTTATATCTCGCAAAAAGATATAATAACAAAGTAAACCCGAGTGGTGGTTTAAATAATAATACTTTATATCGGAATGTAGGAATGTCAAAATACAGAGACAGAGTAGGAGTAAGCTAACCGCATGGTGTAGTCAACGAAGACCTTTGTTGTCGCTCTGTTGTCGTTTTGGACTGTTTACTGTGGTCGAACTTTATCGGCCACCGGAACGTCCATTTATGGTGAATGGGGAAGTCAGGTTATTTCATCACAACAAAGATAAACCTTAATTTCATTCAGCTTTGTAGACTCCTTTCCAAAATACCGTCCCAAAATATCAGAGTTATAAACATCTTTCCAGAAGCAATCAGAAAAAGCTTACATAGTTTTTCACATCAGCTATTCTCATCTACTTGTTGACTATAAAACCAACATAGTTTTCACCCACAGAGACTGATCCAACATGGATGGCATTAGTGACCAAAACCAAATGGTAGGCATCTTAAACAAGTGATACCAAGGCACTTTCATCAAGTGATGCCTTTGCCCAGTAAAGAAACCAGTGGCAGCAGCAGAGGCTAACTCTAGACTACTACATTGTGATAATGTGTGTTAATTTTCTCCATGTGTTTATACTACTTTGAAGGAACTCTCAGTCTCCCAAGACTGATATACAGTACCATGGAATGAGCAAACATTGTAAGCCACAGGGGAATAAAAAATCTTTTACTTGTCCCAACCATGTCTTATCTCTATTTGTTGTTTTGTCACTTCCACTTTTTTTTTCTTGTTAATAGCAAGGCTGCCATTACAATCAACATCAAGTGGTATTATGCCAGAAAAGGTGTTGAGTGAATGGTCATGGTTAAACGTAAATAAATGGCAAAACTGAGCAACAAATAGAATAGTCAAAGTGAGCAATAACAATAGCAAAAAAAAATAAAAGAACAGGGAATATATATATATATATATATATATATATATATATAAATAGGAGTTGACACACAACAGCAAATTTGGATAAATGACCATTCTGACTTCAAGACAAGACAGACTGGGATTGAGTCATATGAAACTGAAAACTGGCTTATTTTACTGGGTAGGAAGGAATCCCAGCATGCATTTGTGTGCTTTTGACTATAAACTGGGAAGGGAAAAGTGTTTTGTAGTCATTTTTGTAGGTGCAGAGTTAAGTTGGGAGGGTGGTGACTTTAGATTCATACATTGTCAGAGGGGACCCTGAGCATTGAACACCTGTTGATAAGGCTGTCTGATATGTGCATACCAGATAGAAACTGTTAAAACAGATAGATATATAAACAACCTCTCCAACTAAGAGGGATCAGTCTCTCAGCAAATATTGCAAGACGAGAATCTAAGGGCCATTATTGGACAAGGGCTCTGTGGGACCACCCTCACACTGGCCGAGTGTAATTGACAAATTCAGAAGTCAAAAAAAATGGATGCTAAATATGAAAGATTCAAGTTTCATATTCTCATTAACAGGCATTCTCACTTCATTACCGTTGCAATAGTGGTGTATTGAGAATTAAGAACTTACAAGTAATGGCTTGCAAGATGATTATAAGAGTCATCGGTGATGTTGGTAATGGTACTTACAAATCTGCAGTTGTCTTTTTTCTTTGTTCTCATCCTCTGACTTTTGTTCTTGTAGTCGGGCTTTGGTCTGTATTCTTTCCAAATCAATTTTCTTCATTTGATTCTGTAAGTCATCCACCTGGAAATTAAAAAGGCAGAAAAGCATTAATAAAGGCTTAATGTTGAAGTTTGATTCTCAAAGCAAAATCTTGTACTCGGTGTTATATTCTATCCTTACACTCTACATTCGTTTAAATGTTATTTTTGAGAGGATACCCATGTTTGAAATAGATATCCAATTTAATAATTAATAATTAACATCTTTGTGTAACCTATTTAAAATAAATGTGATATTTGTTAATAAGTTCAATAAATTTATTTTACCTGAGGAGGTGGATGTACATCTGTAAAACTGAGTTGGAAGATAAGTCCTTGAACTTTTTATTTATCTATTCACTTTATATGTTAAGTGAATATCAAAATGGAAAAAAAAAACTTCTTAGAAACAGGTTTCATTCTAAGAAAGGACTTCTTCAAACTAATAACTGTTTTATTAAGGAGTCACATATAATTGGGAGGAAAAAGCAGGAGGAGAAATACAACAAATGCTGATTATAGTTTACATCAAAATGTTAAAGATACAGTGATACTCAGCTTTATGTTTAAATTTAGACAGAACTAATTTTTTTCTTAGTAATTTACCAATATCTTCTGTTAGTGCTGTATTAACATAACTTTTCTTAAAATTTCTAGAAACTGTCCCTTTCCAAAATGTTTTACTTAAAGAATCAACATATTTCTGATACATCAATAATGTTAATATATACCAGCAAAGCAGTGCTGTGGTGATGTTTGGTGATGCCCATGGCCAACTCCTTGATTGTATGCCCCTGGACTCAAGTGTGTGTGTGTGTGTGTGTGTGTGTGAAGGGGGGTTAAGGTCTAGTACTGAGAAATGTGAGAAAAGAAAACATTTTAAATATGTAAAAACAGATGAAACATGAAATAAACACTTTATTCAAATTAAATATAAACTAAGATTTCATTTCACTCTTTGATTAGATGCCCAGAGCCATCATATCTTCTGTCGTACCCCTCTTCTGCAGTAAAGTATTATCTGATCTTGTAAATAATCTAAACAATATTTAACATACAATTGAATTTACTTATGAAGCAGACACATGCAATACATTATCAATCCTTAATATCTGCATATTAAACTACACCGATAATGAGCTAATACTAAATGTCTACCAAAAATTCACTAACAAAAATCTCAAAATTAATTTCACACCATGACAAAATAAAATCCTGAATAATTATAAGTTTCTACTTAAGAGCATTTAGCATTTGTAGCCCTCAATATTTACATAAAAAAAAATACACTGAAAATGTGAAAATTTCCCCGGTTTTCCTATTTTAATTTTCTGATGAATCTTAATTCTTAAGTTAATGATTAAATAAGCTCATGATGAGTTCAAAGACAATAAAATATCTGTAGAAATTCTCCAATCACATTGTTAAATATTTGAGCTTATCAACTTCAAAATATTGCAATAACAATCATATTCAAAATATTGCAATAACAATCATAAATATGAATTGTGGTTGTTATTTTAAGAAGTGGGTACAAATAAAAAGATTTGAAATTGACAACTTTTACTTTTCACTGAATTGGCCATTAAACACTTCTGTCTTCCTTTCTTTTCTTCATTCATATGTCTTGTTTTTCTACACAATCAAAACAGAATAGTCCATTATTTATGAGGTATTGGCAGGAGACATTAAACACTTCTATATTCTTTTCTCTTCTTTTTTTCTAGCCAAATCCTCGTCATTTCTCTTAAGACTAATTTAAAAATAATTCAGCAGACAATGTTAGTGAGTCTGAAAAATGGTGCTTTTATCACAGTTGCCATCAATTTCAGTCTTTTGGTTGGGATCAAAGTGTAGTATCTGCCCTTGGGTGGATAAACTACATTTCATTTCTCAGTTCTGTGTGTCTGTGGACAGAGTAAAACTGAAAATATTATTGAGAGATGACCAATTTTGGGAAACAGCTATCTGCAGCAGTACCTCCCTCAGTGCACTAAAGAAGAGTGATCAGTAGTAATACTAATGTCAGCACAACCGATGGTTGTGGGGTCTGGGCTACTTTAGAACCTGAACCTGGCCCTGGTGCATGCATTTGGGCTCCTCAAATTAAACTAACCTTGTGTCACATCCTGCCAGCATTGAGCAAGAAGAAAATACAATCGCTTCTTGGCCTTCAGGCTGAGATCAAAGTGTAGTACCTGTTTGTATCAGCTTAATCTGATTCTCTATACACTTCTTTCGTCACTTCTTTCTTTCTTTTTCTCCCTGAAACCAAATAGTGTCTTTTCTCCCTTTTTATGTAATCAAAAATCTATTATTTATGAGGTAGTGGCAGGGCATAATGGTCATGCGAACTAACAAAACAAAGGACAAGCAGAATTATAAGATAATGCTAAAAGGAAAGCTTACAATAAGCACAAAAACAAAAAAAGAAAATAACATAAATAATCTTGATAAAACTAGGCACATAATCCTACTTACCAAGTTAATAATGTCTACAAGTGAAGTGAATTTATCAAAACTCAATAGAAAATTTGTCACAACTAATTAAAAAAACAAAACAATATAGGATTTAATCAATACAAAACAAATAGCATTAAACTTGAAGTAGGAGTTCACAAAATAAATTGCAAAAAATATCCTAAGAAATACACAGATGAAAACTCTAGGAAATTAAGATTATACAAACAAAAAGTAATCTTTTGAAAAAAGAAGGCACTCAAAGAGTTAGTCATTCATTATAATAGATCTGACCATAATTTTAACTTGAAGAAGTGTTATGCTACCTATTCTATGGTAATGGACTCTCCCATAGACAATAAGTAGCAGTAGCAGTCGCGAGTTCGGCTCAATGGTGTTGAGCACGTCAGACGATATCGGACAATGAAGTACCAACCATCACAACTAGATTGCTGCGTCATTAACTCTTATTTTCCAAGTTCCTAATGTTTTGTATGTCAAACCTAATTTAGGACGACTTACAGAAATACAAACCTCCACTGTAAAAACTACTCCACAACAAGAAGACAGTTTGATTAAGAGAAAAATTAAATTATTAGTAAAGCAAATATATATTGAAAGTGCACTGATGTTGAAATCCTCTACAGTAAATTTATGTTCAGGATCATAAAAACATAGTTTACCACGAATAATGAAGCATAATTAAAACCAAAAGTGATAAATGAATCTTAATGAGAGACTAAATTAAACATCGAATGTCAAAACTTAAATTTAAATGCTGAGCATCTGTTAAACAAAAGTACTTTCCATTTTGCCATATTAGTCTAATATATATTTTATATCATAGAAATGAATAACATTTTAAAAGCACTTTGCTCTTTTAAAATGCTATTTTATTATTATACTGTCTTTTGATATTGAGCATTTTTTTTTTTTTACAGTTTTAAACCTTAGGATAATATATATATATATAAAATTTTTGCAGGGGAACAAAGTTTTATTAGAGCAATAAAAGAGGATATACTAAAAGGCCATTCATAACAAAAACAAAAGGATAAAAAATAGAGGGGTAACCAAAAAATTTGTACTTTGGTATTATGAAATTTATGGTAAGATGTTTTGTTGACCCTCTTTTTTTGTTATGGCATCTAAACTGGTTGTCATTTAAGGCTATAGGACCCAGTCTATCCTGCTATGTATGCATAGCTGGTGGGAGAAAAGATCGATTCATAACATTCCCAAGGGTATTTGGGTATTTACATGTAAGTGAAAGTAACAAACTCGACTGAAATTCAAATTCAACTCTGATTCCCCAATCCAAGCCAATATCCATTACTCCACTGTACCTCATATATATATATATATATATATATATATATATGAGGTACATATTATTTGTATATATATATATATATATATATATATATATATATATATATATATATATATATTAGTGGTGGAAATAAATATAAGACACCTCATGAAATTGTTAATAATTTTCTTATAACTACACAAATTCCTCTGAAAATTTATGTGTGGCACCTAGGTCCGATGGGTATAAGTATATATATATATATATATATATATATATATATATATATATATATATATATATATATAAAAAGAAAGAGGTTGTAGTGGTTCCAATGAGAGAAAAGTGTGTATATTAAAAAGAAGAGAAGAGAGGTGCCGCAAACGATTTTAGTTGTAATGTTGTTTTTTTAAAAAAAAAATATTATGCTTTATTTTCCATAATTTTATTACACATGTTTCTGGTTTAGTGACCGTCTTCAGGTAAAAGCGGAGATTTCCTCATATTATTAAAAATAATTAATTTTTTCCTTATGTTTTTCAATGTTAAATATTCTCGATATGAGACATTCTCTGTTTTTGTGTTAGCAATCCGAATGTCTTTCTTGAATTAGCAATGAAGAGTTCTGCGCGAAGGGTCATAAAACAATTAAGGTTGTTCCAAGAGAAATGATGAATTACTCATCGGCATTTTATCTTTTAATGTTTTACTGACCCCTGTGTGTTCTTAGATCTGTTTCCATTTTTGTGTGTTTCTCTCAGCATGCATGTATATATGCATGTGTATATTTCCCCTCTATACATATACTGTCTTACTATGAGGAATTAGTAAACTCATTTGTACACATACACACATACATACACATACGCACATACACACCGTCCCACCACAAGGAATCTGTACACACATGCACATACATACACACACATACTTCTCAAGCTACATGGAACCAGTATACACATACACACGTACTTCCTAAGTTGTGTGGGGTTTGTGTGTGTGCTCGTAAGTAGTTCCCCTGTTTTGTCACAACACATCTTCAAATGTAACCAGGGTAAATTTAATATCATGCCGATATATCAAACAGACAGTTATTCGTACCTACAAATACAAGAAAAAAACTTTATAAACAAATTTAAATGTGTATCGGATTTCCTACATTTTTCAACCGATTTCAACAAAACTTCACAGGACTATGTAAAATTACCTTGTGGTGATTCTGACAGCGCCAAAAATTCGAAAAACAATTGTTTTTGCACAAAATCAATTTGAAAACACAATTAACAGACATCGCGAGAATGAAAGGGTGACAACTCATATCGAGTTATACTTATTATAAAACCCAGGTTGTGTGTGTGTGTTTGTTTACATATGGGATCGAATTTCCTACATTTTTCAACCGATTTCAACAAAACTTCACTTTTTGTTTTTGGCAGGTAGTGTTTCTTATTGTCTTGCACACTTTTTTCTTTATTTTTACATTCAGAATGCTTTAAAAATTCCATTTAAAAGACAATTGTTTATAATAAAATTCTATTCAATCAGTAGACTCATAATGATTGAAAACAATGTTTTTGTTTGAGTTTGGGTTTGACCAATTCGTAAAAAAACAAAAAAAAAAACTAATTAAGACATGCGTGTCCGTCAACCTTAAACAATAATCTTTGTCAATTTTATTTTTCAGTCTTTATGATGGTCAATACTTGATCTATCTCTTACTGTTACAACCCTGGGCAATGCTGGGCTCTACTGCTAGTATATATATAAAATATTGCTATGGGAAATTTACTATTTTTTTTTGTGGTAAAAAACACTTCATTTTGAAATTCTTGCAAAAATCAAATAATTATTGAATTTTAATGTAATTTTCAGTACTTTTTATAAAATCTTGGTAAAAATATTTTTTTTTTTTTTACATCTCTCACCCCAATGTAATTTTATGAAATTTTGATCCACAATGTTTTTATTAGTTAAAAGCAGTACTGCTTGGAGAATGTAAATAATATATTTTTTTTTTTCAAACAGTTACTCATCTATCAAAATTCTGCTCCAAATTGTAAAATAAAAATGCAATAAAACTATGACATTATTTAATTAGAAAAGCTTTTAATTACTTTTATAAATAAGATATATTATAGACAGTATTTTCTTAAGAAAAAAATTTTTTTTTCAATGAATAATTAATTTTTATAAGAATTGTTTTCATTTTTATTAATTTTAATTATAATGATTTATAAAGTTTTAAATCTTAAAATTCTGAATTTCAGCCATTTAGATAATATTAAGTGAAAACTATATTTTCTAATCATAAAAGAAAAGCTTAATGCAAATCATCAAACACCAACATTTTTAAAAGAATTAAAAAAATTTTTTGTGCGTGTAAAAATGTGCCCATTTTTGTAGGTACAGGCAACCATACATGACAACATTATTAGAAAATAAAAGTGATGCCTATAGCAAATTTAAAGTCAACATTTCTAAATTTTAATAAAACATTATATTATGGAGAATAGTTTCCTAAATTTTTATTATTACTGTGTACATAAAAATTATATAAAAAAGGCATTCACGCTATTTTCTTAAGTTATGTTTTACCAATAAATTCTCTATAGAACAACATTAGATCAGTCATCAGGCTGTAAATACGTCAAATCAGCTTTCTGTGATATTTTAAACTTAAAGTAAATATTTGTTTCAAATCAGATTAATTATACTTTAAAACAATTACTATCCCTCAAATAAATATTCAGTTTATTTTTGCAAGATTTTTAAAAACAAGAACTAACTTGATTACAATGTCTCAAAAATGGTCGATGTTACCAAAAAAAGCTAAAATGAAAATTGATTCCAATCAATATAATTTCTATTTGAAATACAGAGTATTTTTGCCTCCAGGAAATAGATTTAATCTTTTTAGCTTTCAATTAAAGCTAAAATGAAAGCTTCAAGGATGCTTTTACATTTTTTTAAATTAATTTAAACCTTAGGTATCATGTTTATTGTGGAGGTACCACATTATATATATATATATATATACACACACATTACTATAAACTTTATTTTTTAGAGAGAACACAAGTTTGAGTAGACATCCCTATTTTTCTTTTTGCCATAACCCTCTCACCATCCCCCCAAAAAAACCACTGAACTTCACATCTACTGGCCTAGGGTATTGAAAGTCTTATTAAAAAATATACTTAAAAAAAAATAGTTTTATAGCAATAAGAAATAATGTTGTATTAAAAACACATTAACTACTTAAATTTATGTATATATATTATACAGACTTACAACTTGTTGCAATGTGCTCTTGCTTCCTTCACTCTGGTCAAGGCGTCGTCGGAGAGTTTCCACTTCAGCTTCAAGCTACAATGATAGCATTTATAACCAACATAAGTTGTACAATATATATATATATATATATATATATTTCACGTTCCAAATAATATTGTTACACCAGTAAGTGACATTTAAAAAAAAAGAAAAAAAATCCCAATATTTCTTATTGGTTTCAATCCCATAAGGAATGAGTCTAAAAAAATTCCCTCACCAAATTTATAGACAAAACATACAGATGTGTGCTGAGATTTTTTCCTAGCCAATAAATTAGGCCACTTTCGTGTCTCATCAGACTTAGTTCTGTTCTTTCTTATTTTGAAGCCAGAATGCTGTGATTGCTTGTCTGTATCCCCTTTTGTATATTGACACCATTTTTAGTTTGTGAACTTTTCCCATTATTAATGTTGCTTTACCCTATTACTGTTTTGCCTTGCATATATTATTTGCTCAATATTATTTTTGCCCTCTTCTTTTCCTTCTATTCTTATTACTTTTGTCAATTCTGTTTGTTGGGCATTTCTGTCAATTACATTTAACCATGGCTAATTACTCTACAATTCCTTGTAGATTTGTAGAGGGCCGTGGCTGTGATGTTGTGGAGTCAGACGTAGAAGAAACGCATGTGAGGTTCAGATTTTTCCTGCTCGCCGGGCCCAACTACATAAAAAGGTTGGACTTTGATTAAGTCCAAAGAAGAAGGCAAAGAAAACAAACAAAACACAAGACCGATAATATATGTATATACAAATATATATTAATAACAAATTACAATACATGGAAACAGTACAAAGGATGAAGTGTATGTGAATATTCTGTATGTGCATGTGTGTGTGAATATTCTGTATGTGCGTGTGTGTGTGAATATTCTGTATATGTGTGTGTGTGTGTGTGTTGTGCTTAGCGCGCTCCCAGCATTTGGGAAACACTATCCCTTGTTAACACCTACATTTCGAGGTTGTAAGCTGCAAGCCCGAGGAAAAAGAGAAATTTACCTCCAGGTGTCGATCCGAAGGCATGAGGGAAAAAAGTGATAGAGGCGAAGGGTCAGCGGCTATTTATAGCTGCGAAAAGCGACCCCTGGTGAAAGGGTTACGAACTGAAGGAGGAATTAACTCCGACAGATTTATAATGACAATTGCCAATGTGTTCTACTTGAATTTTGACTTCTGTAAAATGACATTGCAGTCCTGTATCAGGTTAAACATAATTGCCTACAGGAAATTTCCTGTGAAGCAATAGTTGGTAAGATAGTCTCCAAAATCATTCACAAGTATAGCAAGTTCAATCTTCACTGAGCCTTCAATTATTGTAAATCCTAAGCCAGATTATGCTAAGCTCAGTAAATCTACATATAATTTTTAAAGAATTAATGAATTTTTATTTATTAATCTGACATATATTTATTATTTTAGAACTTTATTTTTGAGTAGATACTCTGTTTATTTTAAACAGTATTTTATTTTGTCTGATGACCTGAATACTTAAGAAATCTTATTAAAGAGAATGTGCCCTTTGGCAGAATTCAAACCTACTTACTTTCTTATGAAATATTGATATATAGGTAGGTTGGCACTTTGAGCAGTGTAGTATCTGTGTTCTATGTCTAGCATCAAAGTGTTATTTCTCAGCCCTCTGCCTAGAATCAGAACATTGTATTTGTATACCTTGTGAATAGTCACACACAAAATGCATTTTTTTAATTTTTTTATTATAGGAAAGGCTTGAAACTGAAATATCAAAAGTTTAAAGAAAATTTACCTTATGTTTCTGAACTTCAGATTGGAGAAACTGGGTTTTATATTTGCTTTCCTCGGAAATATTTGAAACTTGTGCTATTTGGGGAACAGCAACATTTGGTATTGGTATTGGTGTTGGTGGTGGTGGTGCAGGGGGAGATACCGACAACTTGGAAAAGAAGTTTTGGTGTTGCTGAAGTGCCTAAAATAATAAAAAAGTAGTCAAATAATGAATATAAATAATACTTTTCTTAGTCTAACACAAGAGCTAATGGAGGACATAAGGTGGGAGGGTAAAAGAACTGTGCTCTGCTAATCTTCTACATGGGGAGAACTTACTTAGAAAATCAGCAATTGAAATCATTGCTTTTGACTGAACTTGAACACCAGCCACATTCACTTGCATGTATTAAGTGAAAGGATACAACAATGCTGCAGAAAAGCTTGAAAAACTTGAACCAAACATGATATTCTGAGAGATGGTTAGTGGAAAGAGAACAATCCACCACTGTAGATTAAATAAAGGGTTCTGTTCAACATTCCCTGAAAGTTACCTTGATCAATAATCAAATGATGAGGCCAAAGAGCACAATATCTGAAGTTTTGTGATAAGATGAATACAATGGTACACATAAATAACTCCGTGAGCATGAACCAAATGTAGTACAGCCTTGTTGTTACCCTTTGAGAGCAGAACCATTTTTTTCCTTCTTTTAGAAAAGTATATGCATAAGGGAACTATTTTGAAGATAGTGAAAACTAGGTGTTTGGAGAGATTTTTTTTTTTTTTATGGTAAAATTTTCCAGAATTTGAATAGCAACTTTTATACTGAACCCTATTTAATAAGTAAATTATATTCACTGTGTGATAAGTGCTTGTTAATCACTTTTGGAGGGTTACATTATTAAACCTAAACTGATATAGTTTCTATAAAAGTCAGAATTAAAATTAAAAACACTGAAAATTAAGTATATAAAGTTAGTTGTGTGTGTGTGTGGGGGGGGATATGCAAACAGTGACATCAAATAAATGCAGTTTTATTAGGCATCATTTATTGTGGTTAATTTAGTAGTTTTTTAGTGGAAATAACTAATTCATATAATCAACTTTAAAAGTACATTAAAAAAAACAAAAAAGAAAAAACTTTTCTTATTTGGTCTTTTGTGACCTTTGTATAAAAAAAGTAATTGTTTTACTAATGGCTTTTATCATAAATTGCTTAATTATTTAAATAAAGGCATTTTCTGCCCTGAGTGTGATAATCTTAGAATTTAGGTTGCAACTTTAGAGTAAAGCTAAGTAAGCAATGATGAGATTTTAAAAATCTCAGATTTAAATTTTCATTTTTGAAATAATTATATTTTAAATTTTGTCCATAAAAAATAATAAAATAATTTACTTGATTTGTTTCCTTGTGTTCATTTAAACTGACTCCTACTTTTCTCCAGATACCTAAACTATAGCAAAAATTATACTGAAATGTATTGGAAAATTTCCAAGTTTTTATCTGAACTCAAAAAAATAGTAACTTTAAGCAAAATTGTCACACTATATGGAAAAAAAATGTGTCACCAGGAGAATACAGGTTAATAGATTTATTTGCTTATCTTTATTGAATTTATTTAAAAGAAAAAGAAAAGCAAACTTTTTATCATTAAAACTAAACAAGACCCTTTTTGTGTATAACAAAAAAAATTAGTTGAATGGAAAAATTTAATCTTTATTTAATATTTTGCTTTAATTGGAATTTTTTTTCATAAGCTAAGTAAATGAAAATAAATTTTACGTCATAAAATAATCTCTTAAAGAAATGACTGAGTGAGAAAGCAAAGATGAAGGTAAGAAACTTGCCCCATACAACATCAGGTTGGGCACTTCAATGTGGTGTAATGATTAGCAAGCTTGTCTCACAGGATCAATTGCGACTGAATAGTAAGTTCAATCCTCACTACTAGTCTTTTGATACTTCAACAAATGACTTGTTTGTCTGTCATTGCATAAATCAAGGACAGCTAGATCTATGCCCAACAAATTTTCTAAGGTTATTATTGGGATTTCAAAAAACATTACTATATTATTTCTTGAAAATTCCCAAACTTAAGTCTTTAGTAAGAGGCTCAATAGACAATTGAATGTATGGTCAATAGGAAGAAGGATAGCCCAAGATACAAGCTATTTGGTTTTTTTTTTTACAATAAAGTTCACCCTGTACAAGGCCTTGGAGTCACTCAAGGTAGAAGGTTACATTAAGAGAGAGTTTATACGGATAGGAGGGGAAGATAATGGTTAACCCTAGACTTGAACAGGTTAAGATTGTAGTAACTGGAGAAACATCCTCTTGGGTGTCAGTTACACAGTTCAGGGGAAGAAGCTGTTTGAGTGGGACTTTTCATGGAAGTAGTGATAGAGTGACAAGAGAGAGAGAAGGTAAAAAATAATTTGTCACTTACAAGGACTTAGAGACACTTTTGAACTATCGAGACTGGAAAGTGATGACGGGGCAGCTCCTGCTCAAATATGACAACAGTACTCCATTTTCAGCCTGATCTGGTAGAGGATAGCATGAGGAGTCAGGTACTTATTGGAGTAGAACAGGGAGCTGACCATTTTTCCTGCATCTTTAGTGATGGATTATATGTATGAGTTCCACTTGAGGTCAGGTTTGAGTTTAAGACCCAATAGTCTGTCAAGGCACGAAGCCTCTCTGAGGATATCTCCGTTCATAGTGACTGGCAGTAGTTCAGGATCTGATCAGCTATATATTGGAGATGTCAGAATCAGGGAAGTGTTTTAACAAACAGAAAACCTGACACCAAAATCCAAAAGGTGCATTGGAATAGCAAAAGATAGCCTTCCAAAAGTCAAGTGGTAAGAAACCATAAAACTTTGTTAAAAAGAGTGCTGAACTGTCATGTAATATCAATCCTCCTATATGACAATATCCATAGAGATGAAGAGGAAACTTGAAGCAACAGAAATGTGGTTCTACAGTAGAATGCTGAGAATGTCATGGATAGAGCATGTGAGCAATGAGGAAGCTTGAAACAAAATGGAAACTTATGATCAGAGAGACTGCTGAAAGTTTTGGTACATGTAATGAAAGAGAGCTTGGAAAATCTGACACTCAAAGGACATATTCAAGGTAGGAGATGCAAAATAGAAATGGCAAATGAGCATAGGTAAATGGATGGGAGAAAAGATACTCGTAGAGTTGGTGAGGGCACAAATAAGAGTATGAAGTATAAGATGTAGGTAGAAAGCCATGATCACCCACATCCTGAAGGGACAAGACACAGAAGGATATTGCTAAATTGAAGTATTTGGAGCACTTCAGTCTGGTTGATCATTACTATGGAGTAGTGAATTTGATCCTGTACGTTTACTATGGGCCCACTGGGTTACATAAACTATACCTTATCTTTTTGGTTCACTGTATAAACTAGACACTGAGCTGAAAATTTCCTAACCAGAAACTAAAGTTATAACCTAAAGATATAAAAAAAATAAAAACTTGTATTATGTTTCTATCTGAATTTCTGGGATGAGGAGTTATCATCATTTATACTATTTTCATTCAGACTATTGTCCTTATCTTTGTTGTTATCACAACATTTCAGCCGTTATGCTCGCCAGCCTTTACCAGATGTACATCAATCCAGGAAGCCTGCAGAAAATTTTGAACCCTTAATTTAGATTGTCCTTGTTCCACTAGGGATATCTCTTCTATTTCTCATTTTTAATTATTTTTTAAAAATTTCTTATTGATCACTCGGTTTCAACTGAGTTCAAGTACACGCTGCCTGGCCAAGGGATTGAATTCACAATTTCTTTCTCACTTGCCAAATTCATAAACCAATACTTTAATCCACTAGGCTATTGTCCCTTAGGACAATTCTCTGTGTAAATCTGTGGAGAACCTGTAGCCTTAAAACTAACCTTGCTTGCCTGACTGCTTGTATTTGCATGGGCAATATGTCACAGAGGGCCATAAATGCTAACTTCTCAACTTATAACTTTACACCAGAACAATTTTCATGTTATTGTAATAATAAAAATCCAGGTTTCACAAAAAATATGGGTATCTTTTGTGAAATATCCATTTGAGAGATATTTAAATTAAATTCGATTTAAGAGTTGATGATTTTTTCAATACAATATTATTCAGTAAATACATAGTTCAAATCTATGATCTATTATTGACCCCATAGACTTTAATTTGGCCTCTGGCTGGAATGAGCTTAAAAATCCTACCCAGAGGGTTGGATTTCACCTAGTTAAAAAAAAAAAAAAAAAAAATAGGAAACACTGAGATGCTAATTAAAAAAGATAATTTAAATTGAAAATTTAATGTCAGTAAAAATGTGCTGCTGAAATAATTAAGTTGAGCATGATGAAATTAAATTATACCATGTATATAGACATATCTGAAATAATAAAATTACAGTTATTGGTTTATTTTTTACTTTTATATTTATAAAGATTTTTTTAAATTAATGCCTATTTTGGAACCAAAGTGTTTATTCTAAGAACATAAATATACAGGACAGAATCCAATGAAGAATCTTCAATATCATTGTTCCTCACCTAGCATCTCAGCTTCAGCTTTCCCACTGCAGTCCGTATCTTCCCTATGTCATTTCTATAAATATTTTCATGGTAATTGTTCTGATGAGCTTTCAGCTTTGGTAGCTTGACTTTATGAATTTAGGTTTGGTTTGGTTTCTTTTATGGCATATCAACCTCAATGGGTTATTTAATGCTGACAAGATTTTTATTGCTGGTAATATTTTTTCAAAAAGGATTTCTGGTAATATTTTTTTCAAAAATGTATTCTGGTATTAGCACCTGCCACTTTTTTTTTTTAACACACATTTTGACCCCAGTTTGGGGATTAATTATTTGCCAATAGCTAGGACCCTAACAGGGTGGATCTAGGAACACCAGCAATTAAGAAGTGGCTCCACTCTCCTCAAAACCTTCTGATCAGAGGCCTTGCTGTTGGATGTAGTTTATCATCTTAACCAGGACAATTTAAGTGCTGTACTAGATTGGTGGTAAGGTCACATCATTTTACTGTTGAAATGGCTAGATGTTACCCTAAGTTATATGCTAACAGTTTCTTCTCTGGTAAATATTTCTTTCCTATCAACTATGATTTTCAAAAATTTAAATGCAATGTCAGTGATAACTTTCTGTTTGTTTGAATCTTGGTCTTTTAATGTTCTCTTTCTCTTGCTTCAATGTCTTCTCAGTTTTTTTTTCACTCCCACTTGCATCTTAGTGGCTTTATCACCTTGCTTGGGGGTGAAACAATTAAAAAAAAAAATAAATCACTGTAACAATTGACTTTGATAAAAAAAAAACCCAAACAACACAAATTTAGATACATGAAGAAGCATTGGCACTTTCTTCTATGAGCCAGGATGTGGAGGATTATGGCTCTCCACAACTTCCTATCTCTCATAGCTCTTAGTAACGTTTGTCATTTTGCCATCCCTACTACTCTTCAGTTCTGCCATTCATTCACACAAGCTGGTCAGATAGATGGCCCATTGCCTTCCAGCGTTCCTTTTGCCTTTAAATTAAAAAAAATAAGAATAAAAACAAAAAGCATGGCAGTATTTGACATGTTCAAAATATGCAGATATGTAGCAGATTGTAAACGGTAATAAAAATTTATCCATAAATAGACCTTGTATGCGTATAGAAAGAATCCATCCATTTAATATTAATGAAAAACAATAGCACTGTAGTCCCTTCTTTGTACTCCCCTTAGGACCTATCACACCTACCCCAGCATCTACATTAGTTTTTATAACAATCGGTAAAGTCCTCTTTTGGGATTACCATCAGCTGCCTTATCACAATATCTTTAATCTTGTCCATGGTTTGAAATCTCCTTTTCAACAGTGGTATTAGCTTTTGGAATAGCCTCAAGTTGCAGAATGCTAAATTTGGACCACAGTGCAGTTTGGTATTATTCCATGTCTTGTGACTCTTTAGGATGTTGGCAATCATGGCTCTCCACAATTTCCAGTCCTTTATTTCTTTTTTACTGTTTCTAAAACTTGTTCCACCATCAATTTACACAAGCTCGTTAGGTAGGATAAGCATGGTTTTCCTGTCCCTCTTGCCTTCAATTTGACCTGTGAGTATCAAATTTTCTGAGCCCTCTTTACTCATTATGTGCCCTAGAAATTTCAGCCGTCTTTTTCTATAAAGTATAAATGTCCTTTTAGTTTCCATTTTCTTTAAAACTTTGTTGCTGCTCACATATTTGGTCCATGGTATTCTCAGCATCCTTCTGTAGAACCACATTTCTGCAGTTTCAAGTTTTTTCTACATCTGTGAGGAGATTGTCCAGCATTCACTGCCATGTAGGAGGACTGATATTACATAATTATTTTCTTTGTTTCTAACAAAATTGTCTGTTTCTTTGCTTAACTTTTGGAAGGCATCTTTTGCTATCCCAATGTGTCTTCAGATTTCAGGGTTGCATTTTTAGTCTTCTGCTAAAACACTTCCTATACATTGTCTTCTTTCAATTGATGTTTAGTGCTTTTTTTTTCTCTCTCTCTTCACTATGGCTGGGTTATAAGATAATTTTCCAAAAATTCCACCATGAGGCATGAAGAATAAGCAGGTAGATTGCTGTGATGCATGCAATGGTCATACAGTAGACATGCTCACTCAATAACATTTCACTGCTAATTGATTAACTGCACATGAAAGTGTTTGTTTATAAATGTACAGTAACATTCCCTTTGACCGATTTCCAAATTACATTAAAGCTATGAAACCAATTTGAGAGATTCAAAACAGCTGGTCACATTCAGAACAGACCCTGTGTGTAAATTAACTTTTCATAGGATGTGTATGTAGGGGGAGCAATAATTCTGTAGCTTGACTGGTTAATAGAATTTTATCCTGAAATCCTCACTGTATAATGTCCAATCTATGTAATTAACATTCATTATTGAATTAAGTGCATCGACATGAAAGGAGGTTATGTTGAAAAATTATTTGCTGTATAAAATGAATTCCTTTTTCTCAATATTAGGTGACAGACTTACTAATATATTTATATAAAATTCATATTGTATTTACAAAGTGTTTTATGATGATTTGTAGGGATTTAAAAATAACACAATAAAATAAGACTAAAATTATCTCCTCTTGACAATAGAAGGCATGAAAACCACTTTTTGAAATGGCCTTGATGTCAGACATTTTGAAGCACAGCTTTTTTTGTTACTTTTTTTCTTTTTACAATCAAAGCTTTTTTTTTCTCTCTCTCGTCAGAGACTTTTTTCTATTACTGTTGATCAGATTTTTATCATTTTGTCTCACTTTGGTCATGTCACAAACAAGGGGTCAGCTTTCACTGCCACAGATTCACTTACAACCTGATGCTTTTTTGTAGATGTTTGGATGAATTGGGATCTGTGCAATAATTGTGAAATTTGCATGTATTCTGTGAACAAAGATTCATGAAATCTTAAAAAAAAAAAAAAAAAAAGGAAGAAGTTATTCCTACCTGTTTTAACTCTGTAGAAATGTTATCTAAGTCTTCTTTACTGTGTTTCTCTTGAAGTATTTGACGTTCAGCTCGAAGTTCATTTTGAATAGCATTCAGGCGTTTCTCAACTCTTACAGCTGACTGTGACAAACCCAAAATGGAACAGCAAATTCTTTATAAATACTTAAGACAAATGTGATTACAACAGAAAATTTTTGCAAAAAGTAGACAATATTTAAATTTAAAACCCAATAAATATTGTAAATAAATATCCTTGATTTGTTGATAGATAAGAAATTTGTATAGTCTCTTTAACACTTCTGCTGTTGTGGACATAAAGGTTTACAAAATGCATGTTGACATCACAGCTGTCACAAAAAAGTGAAAAGCAATCTTTTTTAAAGAATTTAATTAAAACTCATTGTTCTTTAGGTCATTTAATAAAAAACAAAGAACAAGCTTTTTAACCAACCCAATAAGCTTTTGCTATTTTTTTTTGTTTTTACTAAAATTTACCTGTACATTAATTAGTTTAAATGTTGATCAGATTAAAAAGTCATTGACAGGACTTGTAACCTTAGAACATATTAACTAATTAATGCTCTTTCCAAAATGAAAATTGGCATGAGTTATCTCCTTTTTTAAGATTAGATGTTTGGCGTCATCAATCACAAAACTGTCAAAAACCATCTGGATCTTTCCATTTTTTTTTTTTAACACAATCTAAAATATAAGAGATTGTTTTTCTTATATTAATTTTTACATTTTTGTGAAATGGATGATGAATATATGAGCAAAGCAATCAAAGCATTGTTAAGGACACCCACCACTAAAAAAAAAAACAATAAATAGGGGAAAAAAGAAAAAACAAATGGGGAAAAAAGAAAACAAAGGGTAAAAAAAAAAAAGAAAGATAAAGGAGTGGTAAAAGAAAAAACAAATAAGGGGGAAAAAACCAAAATGAAGGGGGGAGAAAAAACCAAAATGAAGGGGAAGAAAAAACCAAAATGAAGGGGGGGAAAAAAAACAAAAATGGAGTGGGGAGAAAAAAACAAAAACCAAGGGGGAGAATAAAAAAAATGAAGGTGGGGAGGAAAATGAAGCGGGAGGAAAAAGAAAAGTGAAGGGGAGGAAAAGAAAGAACAAATAAACAAATAAAAAAGAAATTACTTCTAAAGACTTGGAAAACCCTATCCCAGTGTTTATTTAATGCAATGGAATTTATGCAGCAGGCTAGACTCTGCATCCACTTTATTAAATGGATGGCTTGTTAATTGATCTGCTCAAATTGAGGGCCATTAGAGAACTGGGTCAGTTTTCATCATTGGCAAAAAGAAACAAGACTGTCAAATCCATGAAAGACTATGCAAGTAACAGCAATAAGAAAACTGGCGTGATCAAGCTCAAACTTCAATTACATGACCTCAATAGTGGTAACTTTAAGCATGAATGAACAGAATGCAGTGTGACAAGCCTAAAGATATGTTATGGCAAAAGTGCGGATAATTTTTGACTTACCCTCATATGTATGTGTACCATATTTTGAACTTGTTGCGACTTGCATGCAGCAATGTTCTACCTATTTGCTTTATGTTTGTTCCTTTGTCTAGTTCTACAGTATTGTCAGAATGTGAATGCATCAGTTTCTAACAGCAATCAGTAAAGCAATTTGGTTTTTGTTATGTGGCTAGGAGAGGCTAGACACAAGTTTGTCTCAATTTCAAACAGTTCTATTCAAGGAAATATTTAGAGAGATCAATACAGAACCTATGAGACCAAATATACACTATTTACATTATTCGGACTATTGTCCTCATCTTTGTCGCCATATTTATTACAACGTTTTGGCCATTGTATGCTCCAGCCTTCTTCAGGTGGTTGAAATGTCATTCCAACCACCTGAAGTAGGCTCGAGCATACAATGGCTGAAATGTTGTAATAAATATGGCAACAAAGATAAGGACAATAGTCCGAATAATGTAAATAGTGTACATAATACTGCATCTCAGAAATATAGACAGATACTGAGGCCAATTATAGTTCAAATAATTTTCTTATTACAGGAAAAATGTCATTTATACAAACTTTGTCTGTTTGAGGATTCTGCCGTAAAGTATTAGTAAGTTCTTTGACAGCTCTTCTGGTTTCTTCAATACTCCTGAAAAGGTAGAATGTAGTAAGTGATGAATCTTAAAGCATGAGAATTTGGAATTAGTTCTCCGATTTAAAAAAAAAAAAAATCATTCAGTCAAGACTGTCATTTCAAAGGATTAGAGAAGAAAAAAAATTAAAAGATAGTTATTACATAGATTTCATCCTAGAGAGAGTAATGTGAATTCTTCTACCTTTAAACATAGTCAAGCATACTGGGCATTTCTTTTTTATTTCACTTTTTATATTGATTTTTGATCTCATATATATATATATATATATATATATATATATATATATATATATATATATATTGTCACGTAGCAACGATTTCATTAACCATATAGGTGTTAGGCTAAAGTAAAATCTTAAATAAAGAGAAAATTAGTTAGATATAAAAGAAAGATAAATAAATAGATAAAAACAGAAATTTAATCCAATGCTTCCGATTCCTTGAGCGAATATATTCTATGATCAGCCATACCCCCTCTTCTCTTCACAAATTCTTTCTCTCCTTATCCTCTCTTCCACCCGCCAGCCAAGGGCCCGTGAACTTAGAAGTGACCCGACGCGAGGATGACCTGGTTCTAAGATTTCGCGTTTGACCATGAGTAAACTCCAGACACCATCAGGGTCTCATGCTGCGATTCACGTGATCGGGACGTACGGAGCATGCGTTGAACTTTTTGGCCATCACACAAACACTGCGTGATTTGCGCCCTATTCTCCCTGCGTGCCGGTCAGGACGAAGGGAACCCCGTGACTGTCTGTGGGGACAGCGAAAACCAAAGAAAGTTTTTCAGTTTCCCTCTGACCAGCGGCAGTTGAACATCGCTGGGCAAAAATCGTCAGACCGCCCACTGAGATGAGGAAGACCACGAAGTCTATCGACCAGTGATTGAACACTTGCGAAAAAGAAGAAGAATCCAGGAATATTGTCGGCCGGCCAAGATACTGATTTATCATCAGAACTCTCGCTTGGCGAATCAAAACTTTGTGAAGATACCAGCCCGACTGCAAGATAAGTTGGTTCTTTTGGCTCGATCTATTTTCATATATGTATGTATCGCTCGCGCCTTCTATTCTTTACTGATGTCCTCCCCTTTGTTAAATGAATGTTCTTTTTTTTTTCTTTCTTTGTTTCGCTATATATATATTTATAAATAAATGTTTAATTTTGAAAGCCATCGTCTTGTGTCTGTTCTTCGTTGATTCCTTGTGTCGCTTCCATTTCTGAGTGAAGACCGAGAAAAAAAAAACCACGTTTTTTTTTTTTTTAGAACCCGTGGTTCATCTATATGCTACAAGTTCGTAACAATATATATATATATATATATATATATATATATATATATATATACAAGTATAGGATTGGTGTATACAGAATAAATTCAATAACCAAAAAATACTATTCTTAAAAAGAGTGCTCAATACAGAGTAGAGCAAATATAATTTATTCGAAAATTATAATATAAATATGTTATAAAATCACTACAAAAATACTCATTTTGTTTCAACACTTCTGGTGTCTTATCAACACCATCACTTGATAAGACACCAGAAGTGTTGAAACAAAATGAGTATTTTTGTAGTGATTTTATAATATATTTATGTTATAATTTTTTAATTTTTTATTTTTTTTTAAACGGACTTTAAAATTTGTGGCCAAGCTCTGAGCAGAAGTGTAAACATACAAAACAACCTTTTCCCAAGCTTTCCACCAACCAGCCAATGATTACCCCATGTTGCATTTCATTTCTCAAAAGATGAGAAAGAGTCCGCTGCATTCTCACAAGGTAACAAGATGAAAGACAAATGCCACATAGAGAAATAAGAACGTGAACCCTATTTCCCATATTATATGTAGAGGTTTTATTCAGGGCTTTGCCTGTGGGTTGGTAGATGATACTTGGGACAATTTCTATTATGTCAGCTGTTCCTCCTTTCAACTCTTTGCCCACTGACACATCCAACAAATGCATAGAAACAGAACCAGGTGACAAACAAGTCCATCCCCCACCAAGGACAGACCAGCACTCATTCTAATCCCAAGCATAACTGTTAATATAGGCCAACACCCGGATAGATCCTATTTCCATTTTTGTTGTCACTTGATCTCCAAAAACCCTTCATATATTTCTTTAAGTCTCCATTCCTCATTGCTCAAAGTGTATACCACTTAGAACACTAGGCTTTAAAAAGAAACACCAGCTGGCCATTAAACAGAAACACTTGTGATTGAGAAAAGCACATTTCTCTTTTCTACATGTGTGTCTGTAGTATCACAGAAGCTATCATGTATATTTATATATTCATCTTTTGAAAATTAAGAAAACTTTAATTGTTCTTGTATCCAGGTCTATCCCTCAACAAAATGTTATTGAAATTCAAATACACTCATATTTGTAGACATACAAATATGGGGGAACTGCATAATTTTTATTCAACTTTATCAAAAGAAGTAACACTAGAGCACTCATAAATAAATGAATGGTCTGTAAGATTAGCTTGATAGCCATGAATAAGTGTCTGCTAATTAAGCTTAATTTAAATTGTTTAGAGTGGGCAAATAGCTGAGTGGTTAGAATGCTAGCATTCCAACCTATGAGCAGTGGTGTAGCTAGCGTCACCCGGGGCGGTCCGCTCAAATGTCACCCCAATGACCCCGATTCACCCTATGCTGAATGGTTAGCTGTAGCTAAATTTTCATACATGCTCTACCTCTACTTTACTGTACTGACTGGTAAGTTACTGTTTACATGTATGATCCAAGACAAAATCCAATACCACAAAATAATCAGTTCAAATCAAAAGCTGAAAACACTGCTATTTTTCCTACTCACAAATTTCCCGACAATTTATTAGAAAATTTCTGACGGGGGGGACAAAACTGGGGGTCATAAATTATTTCTGGGGAGTCATATGCCTGCCTGCAAAATCCTGTGTCTCCACCACTGTTTTCAGACTATTTTGGCACCTTAGCCTGGTTGAAAAATTTTTTGTTGGGGTGACATTGTGTCACCCCTCCTGTGCTGGCACCAGGGGCAGTCCCCCCTCGCCCCCCCTCCCCTAGCTACCCCACTGCCTATGAGACCTGGGTTTGAATCTCACCAGGGTTGATTTGTCAGGGAGGTGACCTCTTGATAATATTAACCTGGGGAGACATTCCTATAACAGTCACTGAAGGGCCTGGTATGTGTTTTACCAGGCTTAATGATCTCGCTACTTAGTAATAATATAGTAGCAGCTGGAAGTGTTGAAATTATGAGAATAATTTTTAAATGTTCTGTAAAATATAAAAATTGACTTTATTACATGCTATAAATTTCTATGAGTCTGCTACCACATGACCCTGCTCCCCAGGGTTAAGGATACTACAGTGTATTCTTTTAACTAGAGCTGCTCCCTACTAAGTCTTAAAATCTCCTCCAAGACACCATGTGTTCCTTTATCATTTCTTTGAATTTGTTTCAAATTATTGTTTCTGGTTGAAAAGTGTTTTCTTTGTTTATGTATTTCTTAGAAATATATTTTGTTTGTCTATTTCTTCTTTTCAGAAATATATTTTTTCTAGTTTTCATGTTGTATCTCCTAAATAAAATGAAAACATCAATATGAAGCATGGACCTTTTACATTGAGACCAGCAGTCAGTTACAATCCCAGTATGCAATATCATTGAGTAGCGGCTAAAAAACAAAACCATGAATTGAACTAAGCCTTGTGAGTGAAACTGGGTAGATTAAACAGTCTGTAAGGTATTAACAATTGTGCTAGCATAAAGTTACAAGTTATCATGATTTCTTAATTTATTGTCACTGTCACAATTTTGTAAATTGAATACTCTTCAAACAGCAAAGCCATATGAAGTATGAATAGTAAAGTAACTTCTATCAAGATTCCAATTCACATCCAATATCTTAGGAACTAATCTTTCATGGGCAACACTTTAATCAATTCTGCCATGAAAGCCTATAGTTAGATACGGGGGAAAATCATCAGTTATATTGCTACCTCACCCCTCCAAAGCTCAGTATGAGGACCAATCAAACACACTACAAATTATTTACATGCAAACTATTATGCTCATCATTGTTGTTTGTTGTTTTTTTTATTCAGTATCACTCCATACAAGGTAGTAAAGCCACTAAAACACAAGGGGTTACAGGGTGTGGAGGAATTAGAAACATAAACATTAATATTGAGTGGAAAGAGAAAATCAGGAGGACAGTAGATAGTAATTGACATTGCATTTAAATTTATGCAGGTTAAAGTTGGCTGGTAAGCATGGAGCCAGAAGGGAGTCCCACAAGCAAGAAGTGCAAGAAAAGAAACTGTTAGCATAGAACTTACGGCTACATCTAGCCAGCTTAATTGTAAATTGGTGAGAACTTGACGCCAGTCTCTAGTACTGCATTTAAATTCATTGTCTAGGTATCATAGCGAAGAGCTCACCCACACAATTACAATGAAAGTATTTATAGAAAATGCACAGAGACACGTTTCGGCTGTTGTGCTCTCTGGTCTTCATCAGGTGTTTGTCAATCTGAGTTGTAAGAGGGCAGTGGCATAATGCATGAAATGTCATTTAGTGATTGGAGATATTGAGAGAGTTAGGAATTCTAAGTGAAGGAATAAAAATAATAAAAGTGGAAAAATTATGGGAATTTAGTTGATTAGATTGATGCCTGATGGAAGAAGGTTCAATTTAAAAATATTAACTGGAACCTATAAAATGCGTAGGATTTGAATCTGAAATAAACCTAGCAAGATTTAGCAAATTCGGTACAGGCGAATTTTCCGTCCCCCTACTTCTCATTCCAAAGGAAATTGCAGTAACAAAATGTATATGTTTACCAAAATTCTGCAAAACCCAGCCGAGTTGGAAAAGCCATTATTTAGCAAAGTGTTCCCCCAATTTATATTGATTCTTACCAAAATCTGGCCAAAAAGGTACTTTTTGAATGGTCAGAGTCTAGTTGAAGGTACTCTTTGACAGGCCATCTGGTTTCCTTGTGGAAAGATAACATGCACCAATGTCATTTCCCTGGAAAAATGTCTATAGAAGTCAAAGCCCACAACTGCTTAGTCAGTACATGCCAGAAAGAACACTGTCTTTCTATTCTCTCCTCAAGTTAAAGGAATCTTCAACACAGACACAATTCTCTAACCTTGCAATTAACCTTGCTCAATACCTAAAAGATCTTAGTAAAATCAACCAAGAGTAATTATAACCTTTGACAGCCTATGGTATTAAATTGTCAATGTCTTTTTTTTTTTTTACAACAGTGATTATTTTTCTATTGCTTTTCTGAATCTGTCTATATTTCTGAGATGAGGTATTATGTACATTATTTACATTATTCAGACTATTGTCCTCATCTTTGTCACCATATTTATCACAACGTTTCAGCCGTTGTACCCAGATGTCCTCAAGGGACACATGGCACAGTGGATAAAGGCGTTGGTTAGATCCAGTGACAGCACCCAAAGAGTGTGAGTTCAATGCCCAGTTAAGGCAGTGGAGAACTTTCAGAGGGAAATTAGCAGGAGATAACTGATAACTGACATCCATCAAACATGGCACGTGGAACTAGAACAGTCTATCTCAGTGAGCGAAATAAAGGGTTCAGTTCGACATTCCAACCACCTGAAGAAGGCCGGAGCGTATAACGGCCGAAATGTTGTGATAAATATGGCGACAAAGATGAGGACAATAGTCCGAATAATGTAAATAATGTGCTTTTCTGAATTTCAAGAAAGTTGTAGTAAGTGGAAAATAATAACTCCCTTCACCCACTCCCTTCAAAATTTGAAGGACTGAGGCAGAAAAAGAAAGTAATTCACAAGCTTATGTAAAATTGTTTTGGGACCATGACGGACCATATGAAAACCTTTCTTCACAGAAATTAGCTGGTCAGCTGAGAAAGAAGAAAAGGAAATAGCAATCTTATGTGAAATTTTTTTGATATAAAATGAGGAAAAAATTAAATTAATAAGAGAACTGAGTCCAAGTCATTTGAAAGGTTTCATTCCGTTCCCTACAACCAATATTGAAATTACTCACCAATATATTATCAGCCTCTAACAGCATATGGCACTTCAAAATTTTCTCTCAATAATCAAAGAAAGCTAAGTATTTCCAACACTTTTAGTCTACTTTTTACAAACCATATATCCCTTCAGTGAGCAACAAACTCTTACTTTTGTCTTAAACATTTTTTAATATTATTTTGTGTCAGATGATTTAATCTGTCGTATGAACATTTCCTCTTTATGAAAATACTTTTAAACTATGGCCTTTAAGACTTTTGATTTATTTTCTGAAACAAGCTAATGACTCTACTTCATGTAAATTTGTGAATAAATTCCTTGTCTTGTTTTGTTCAAATTACCTGTGTGTTTCCTCATCATTATCCTTCATTAATTTTCTTAGCATTGGTAAATCAACTGTTCATTTTAACACCTAAGTCCAATGCCACTATAGCGCCAGATCAACAAAACAACAGCTCAGTAGAATGACCAGATGCATTCATCGATAACCACATCATAGTGAGTACATGACGATAAACCATTAGACAAGGAGACCAGCAATAGCTAAAAATAATGAACACACAAAACCATCCATGCCTGCAACACATTATACTTCACTTGATAATTGGTTCCATTGACTATAAGACGTGATATCTGGCACTGTAACTGATCAAAAGTGTACATGCATAATTCTGAACTGAACCCTTAATTCAATCTACAGGGGTATATTGTTCTCATTCTGCTGACCATGACTAGTTCTTATTTAGTACCACTTAGTGGGAGCTGGGTGAGCAATAACTGAATCCAAGTACACACTGCCCTGCCCAAGTATTGAACTCATAATTACTATATTGCCAAATTCATGAACCAATGCATTAATCCACTGGGCTTACTGGATTAAGACATTGGTTTGTGAATTTGGTAACAAATTATAAGGTCAGTGGAATGAAGACAGTATACCACTGTAGATTAAATAAAGGGTTCAGTTCAAAATTCCCTGAAGGTTACTCAGATTGACAAAACCCTGATAAAGGCAGGAGGGTACAATGGCTGAAATCTTATAACAACAAAGATGGAGACAATAATCCACAAAATATGATAACTCCTCATTCTAGAAAGTCTACAAATTATTTAGCCAGGTGAGCTTGCTAACACTTACTCTATGATAGGGCAAACACATTTATTTGAAATTGCAACATGTCTCCTTTAGGAAAAGATCAGTTAAATTTTGTCTTCAACGAAGGTGTAGCTGGTATATCTGTTGAGAAAATGAAACCAACTCACTTATCTCTAAAATCCCGGTCTTCTGTCAAAGAATCTTCCAATCTCTGTTGATTGTAAGTCAAATCTCGCATCGAATTATGCAAAGTGTGCACTTCTTTGTCAAGGTCATCAGCAAAACGAACAGCTGTCTTTCGCTTTCTGTATGGACTCTGAAATCAATGAACATCCATATAACAAAAAAATCCCAAAAAACTTAGCATTCTTTTCATGTACAATTATGGTTGTTTGGTAATTAAAATACTTCATATCTGAATTTCTTAACTGTTGATTCTAATTGGCTGGGAATGACTACTCTGAACATCCCCTCCCAAAATTTATGGACAAATCCTACAGATGCATGCTGAGATTTCTTTCTAACCAATAAAAATGGAAAATTATTGGTCTCATCCCTCATATTTTTTGCTCTTTCTTGTCTTGACATTAGAACCAGTTGATGGCATCTTATTTACATCTAAACACAATTCTTACTTTGTGAATTCTTTGCCTTATTACTCTTGTTTTGACTTGCATATATACTATTGGCTCTGTTTCTTTTTTCTTTTTTTGTTGTTTGAGAACTTTGTCAATTACACTTAACCATAGCCAGTTACTCCACATTAACAATTAGGAATATTATTAGTAATTTAACAAACAAAAGAAGAATAGGTCAATTAAAAATGATAAGAAAAAAAAATTCTCAAAACTATATAGAGTGGGCCAAAACTGAAAAAGAGGTTTCAACGTTTTAAAATATTTATTTTTTTAATTTATTTACATAACTCCTCATACCAGGAATTCAAACAAAAGCCTTTATTTTTGTTTTAAGTTTAGAATATTATAGCATCATATATAGTATATATAGGAAATAAATGGGTAAATTTTAGTAAACAAGAATTTACAACTTTCTAAAAACTAATGCAATGCAATATTTATCACTTACCAATTTATAAAAGAAATAAATATGGAAAAAAAAATTATTCATAAATTTATAAACATTTACTAAATTAAAATATGTGATCCATCTACAAGAACATCCTTATTTACCATTTTATAATGTTCAAATCAATTGGCAATGAGCTGATGTGTTGCCAACTTTTCCAATAAAAAAAAATATTTTTGTTGTCATTTCTCAAGAAAAAAGAAATGCATAAATTCACTTTCATATCTTTAGGTTTTATTACAATTCTAATCAACGCTTTTTAAAAACAAACATTGCCGAGGATTGAAGGTAGTTAAAATAATAGCAGTCAATGGAAAAACTGTCCTTTTGACACCATTTTTTCCAGGCAAGTTAGCCACTTTTTTTTTTAACTATGTAAGGTCCAAGAGCTACTCAAGGTAGAGTGTGTGATATGAATGCAAGAGGAAAAAGTAGGATTGATCAATTGATTGTTTATTTGTTTTACCAGCACATCGATTCCTGTAGCTCATTTAATGCTGAAACTGGATTTTTGTTCAGGAATGTTTTAACATATTTCAAGTGGCCGTGAGGTTTTAAAATTGTTTTCGAAATATCACCAGTTGTATAATTTGGGAGTATTTCAAAACATAAGTCATATGGTTTAAAATCCAAGCTCTATTTCTTATAGAAGGTAGAACTATTTTATTTTCTTCAGATATCCTATTATTTGGGCAGGAGGTACATTTTTGAAGATCATGTTAAGATTTTGTGGTAATAGTTGCTATGTATTTTTTGTACTTCTTACATTCTATCAAAATATGTTTGACTGTGAGAAATTGGTTGCACTGATTTGTAGTTTCCGACTTGTATGTGTGTGTGTCCAATTCTTATTCTTTTGAGCATTACATATTTTCTGTAATCAGCTAATGGTTCTATATTATCCATTCTTATTGTCAGCTGATATTCATATAGTTTATTGTTTGGGAACATGTCCCAAATTGCTTAGCATTTTCTCTTGATGTGTTGTGTAATTTTGTTTTTATAAGCTGTATATGAGAGTTTGATGTTGGTTATTTTCATTTTCGTTACCTCTTTTGCAAGTGTGTCAGATTCATAATTTCCCTTGGTGCCAATATGGCTAGGAATCCAGGCCAATATTATTGTTTTTTTGCTTTATTAAAGGATTTCTAGAATATACAGATGATTTGGGGTCTTTTCTTTAATTGCTTAAACTAGATAGGAAATTTACAATATTCTCCCTATCTCTTGAATTTTCTATCATTTTAAGAATATTTTAAGTGTATAGATGAAAGTATTGTTTGGTAGCCTGGTTTGTTTGTGAATTTGTCTGTGGCTGCTGTGCCTATTCTATCTAGGATTTTTGATCCATCTGTGTAAAATGGTTTATAGTCACAATATTTGTCTCTTAATTCTCTGTATATGCTTTTGTTGATTGTATCTTTTTTTTTTTTTTTTCATGTGTTGATGTTAGGTTTGGTTTGTTTTATGGCATATCAACCTCAACGGGTTATTTAATACTGACAAGATTGCTGGTAATATTTTTTTCAAAAATATATAGCTGGTAATAATTTTTTCTTCAAAAATTCATTACTGGTAATAAGCTTTTACAAAAATGTATTCCTGGTATTAAAACCTATTTTTACACTTTCGTAGTGTTTTAACCCCATTTTGGGGGTCAACTATTTCCCCATGGCTGGGAGCCTAACAGGTGCTACCATCCTGGGTCAGGGTGGACCTAGGAACACCAGCAATTAAGAGGTGGTTGCATACTCCTCAAAACCTGATCAGAGGCTTGTTGTTGGATGTAGTTTATCATCTGACCCAAGACACTTGATTTTAGGTCGATGTGAGTTTTGGCGGTTGTACATTGAACCTTATTTATTGTGACTGGTTTTATGTTATCAAGATCTGTGTTTATTTGTTCTGGTGCTTCTTTGATTCAAAGTCCAAATGAAGGGATGGCTGTAGATTTATTTCTATAGAACTGGATATATTAAGGTTCATATGTTTTTTTGGTATGCTGGGTTATTTGGGTTAGATCGTAGTTTTAGAGCATATTGGAGAGATAATTTTCCCCATCTCAGAAATATAGGTGGCTTCTATATAGAGACTTTGCAAGAGTGAGGTCTGGAAGGCTCCAAGACAATCTCAGGCCTTGATTTTGTATAGTTTGTAGTTTTTTTTTAAGATAGGATTTCTATGTGACATTGTAAATAATGCATCCATAGGTCACACATCAGATCAAAAGTAGACTATATATTCTGATCATTACTTTTTGGTCAGCATCCCAGTTCAGTTTTGATAATACTTTTAGAAGCTTCAAAGCACTTGGCATTTTTTTTAAGGTAATCAATGTATGCTTTGAAGTTAAGTTTGCTATATAGTATGATTCCTAGATATTTTATTTGTTGGACTATGGGAATTATGTGTACACTGTTTTAATGGTTTTAATTATGCTATTTATTTTGAGAACAAATAATGTATGATAAAATGCTACCTTAAGGTACTCTTGCCACCTGCTTGCATATGTCTGATGTGTTTCTATTTTGCACTTTGAATGTTCAGTTTGATAGGAAGTTTTGGATGAAAATAGTCATTCTTCCTTTTATTCCTTTAGGATACCATACTTCCTTGTGGTATCATAGGCTTTTTCAAGATCAAAGAATATTGATACCACATGATGACCTTGAACAAAGCCACCACGAATAAAGGATTCTACCAGTACAAGTTGATCATTGGTTCCTTGGTTCTTCCGGAATCCACTTTGGTAACTAGATAAGACATTGTTTTTCTCCAAGTACCACATTAGTCAAGCATTTACCATTCTCTCCATCATCTTCCAAATGCAACTTGTTAGTGCAATGGGTCAGGAGTTTGTTGGGTTGAAATGGTCTTTGCTGGGTTTAGGAATTGGAGCAATGACAGACTCAAGCCATAATTTTGGAAATTTGTTTGAACACAATATATCATTGAAGATCTGAAGAAGTATTAAAAGAGAACTCTTCTGGCAGGTGTTTTCAAAATAGGTAGTGTGTTTCATCTGGGCCAGTTGCAGAATTTTTTACTTTTATTTATGGAGTCTTTTAGCTCTGCCATAGTAAAGAGAATATTGTATTCTTCTTTATTGTTTGAAGTTCATAATGTTTTTATATTTTTGAAATTTGAGTGTTTAGTGATTTGTTGAGGAGGTTCTTTGAAATTCTGTTGCTATTTCTTTTTTTCCAGTGCATTTATCTTCATTTGTTTTGGTTGACTGTTGCAGTTTGTGATATTTTCCATTAATTTTTCTTATTACCCAGGTTTTATTTATTGGAGTATTGTTGTTTAATTTGGAGATGTAGTTTTTCCAAGTTTCTCTTTTGGAATTTTTAATTATATGGCGTGCTTTTGCTTGAGCTTGCTTGTAGTTTTGTCAGTTGATTGTGGTTGGGTTATGTAAGAATATCTTTAGCATTTTTTCCTGGTTTTAACTGGTTCTCTGAATTCTGACATGAACCAGGGTTTTGATTTGGTTTAAAGGAAGATTTGGATATTGTTTATCTTGCTATTTGTGTTAGTATGTTTGTAAAGGAGACTATTAGTTCTGGTCCATTGTGAATTTCCATGTTGATTTGGGATGAGCAGATTTCATTGAATTTTAGCAAGTTAGCATTGTGTAGTTGCCATTTTGGATTCCTTTCTTTTGGCATAGGCTTGCTTATATTTAGGAAAATAGATGAAGGGTCACTACCACATTGACATCTATTGAAAGTCCATAAACATTGATGGGGAGCATATGGTTAGGTCGATAGCTGATGTTGACCTGGGTATAGGTATGTGTGCATTTGGTTATTAAGGATACATAGATCAGATGATTCTAGTAGAGATTCTATAATTTTACCAGTTTGATTGGAGTTGCAACAGCCCGACATTTTGTTGTGTACATTAAAATCTTCCCTTATTAGAAATAGAGTGGGAAGTTGGCCAATTAGCCTTTCTGTTTGTCTTATTCAGTCTGTGTATTGGATGAATATAGATTGAACATATAGTTATTGTTTGATGAATTGAAGCTTTTACTGTCATGGTCTATAGATTTGCATTTAATGGTAGTTTTTCATGGGGTATTGATTTTTTAACCAATATGGAAGAAACCACACTTAGCCTATTCTCTATTGTGGTAAGTTTCATATCTTTTAAAGGAGATGTTGTCAGTTTCTTTGAGAAAGGCCCCCTGTATCCAAACTATATTTAGATTGTAATCTGTAAGGA